GCGGAAGGATCGCCGGAGCCCAGCAGGTCGAGGCTGCGGTGGCCGGGAGCGGCCACTGCACTCCAGTCTGGGCGACAGAGTGAGACTCCAACTCAAAAAAAAAAAAAAAATTAAAGCAGCAGATAAACTGTAAGGTGTGTCTTGAATTGGGAGCTAGTAAAGTGTACATACCTTAGAACCGAGGAAATTGGCCCACATCTCCCTCAGCAGCTTTAGACCCCCATGCCTAGCTCCTCCCACCCACACTCATTTCATCTGCTACCTACCACACCCCGGGGCAGCCCTGCCTCCTGTGCCGGGGAATGGTGCAACCACCACACACAACCCTGCCAGAACTTGGGCCTCATCTTTGACTCCTCCTTCTTCCTCAACCCCGCAGCTATCCATCAGCAGTTCTGGTCTGTTCTGCCTTCTAAGTATTTCTGGAATCCAGCCCCTGCCTCTTTCTCATCCGGACCACCAGTGGTACTTCATCTGAAGTGCGACTTTGCGTCATTCCTGGCCAGCCTGTCCCACATTCTATAGTCAGCGTGATCCTCTCTCTTTCTTTCACTCTTTCTTCCTTTATTTTGTTTAAATATTTTAAGCATATTGGAAAGTATAGAGGCACACATAATAGCACCCAAGTTCTCACCACACAGCTTAGTCAAATCTTAATACTTTTCCCTATTGCCCTTTTTGTAGAGATGAGTTTCCGCTATGTTGCCCAGGCTGGTCTCAAATTCCTGACCTCAAGCAGTTCTCCTGTCTCAGCCTCCCAAGGTGGCTAAAATTACAGGCATGAGCCACCACACCCGGCCTGATTCTTTTTGTCTTAAGTCAAGTCCTGCCAGTAATTAAAACCCTTTGTGTGTCCTTGCAAATCTCATTCTTCTCCTCTCTCCTCAGAGGCTACTAGTATCTTGCTTTTTAAATTCTCGCTTTCATATTCATTTGTATTATTTTTTAACATATTACATATTCATAAACTGAATAGTTGTACATAGCCTTCTGTTACTTTTTCTAATCAATGATTTTTTTAAAAAACATCATGGAAAATTTCAAGCATATACAAAAGTAGAAAGACTATTGAACACCCATTACTCATCAACTAATTCCAGCAATTATCAATTCATAATCATATCCCCACATTTTCCCACCTCTGCTATTTGAAACAAATGATATATTTTCATCCATATGTATCTCTCTTCAGTATGCATCTCTAAAAATGAAAACTTTTTTAACATAACCATAACACCATTGTCACAGTGAAAATACGATAGTAATTTGTAATTCCTTAATATAAAATATCAGCATTACACAAATGCTTTTTTTCTTTTTTTTTCTTTTTTTTTTTTTAGAGATGAGGTCTCACTATGTGGCCCAGGCTGGTTCCAAAGTCTTTGCCTCAAGCAATCCACCCACCTCAGCCTCCCAAAGTGTTGGGATTACAGGCATGAGCCACTGTACACAGTCTGCAAATGATTTTTGTACAGTTGGTCTTGTTCCAATCAGGGTCCAAACAAGGTCCCCCCACTGCCTGTGTTTGGTATGTTTCTTAAATGGCATGGACATTATGCTAGGCAAAAGAAGCTTGACACAAGGAAGTTATACCGTACAATTCCACTGATATGTCTTAAAATAAGTAAAATTAATGTTTGGTGATAAAAGTCAGAATACTGGTTTCCCAGTGGAGTAGGGACAGATACTATCAACCCTTCTTCACTCATTAGCTAGAATACTACCATATAGAAAAGGACTTCATAAAGAGGATCTTTCCTGTATCAACTATTTGCCTATGTGTGTCTTAAAGAAATGAGCCACACTCCCGGCCACACTAATTGATGTTCAAATTGTCCCATCCTTGGGCAGTGGGAGCCTGTTCAAATCAGCACCTGGGTCCTTTTGACATCAGCATTAAGTTTTAGTGATGTGCTCCTGGTAGCTCTGATGTAGTGCATTCCTTTTTTTTTTGAATTGGAGTCTCACTCTGTCACCCAGACTGGAGTGCAGTGGCCGCTCCCGGCCACCGCAGCCTCGACCTGCTGGGCTCCAGCGATCCTTCCTCCTCAGCCTTCCAAGTAGCTGGAACTACAGGCGCATGCTGCCACACCCAGCTAATTTTTTGATTTATTGTAGAGATGAGGTCTCACCAAGTTGCCCAGGCAGGTCTCGAACCTGCGGGCTCAGGCAATTCACTCACCTCAGCCTCCCAAAGCGCAAGATTACAGGCTGAGCCACCAAGCCCGGCATGCATTCCTTTTCATTGCTGTATGCTGTTGCACTATGTGCCAGGTGATCTTTCAGAAATACAGACATGGGTTATCTCTCTGCTTCTTCAAAGCCTTCAGTGGACAAAGTCCACACTCTTTCCCAAGGCTTACTAAGCACTTTCTTCTTCTCTGTCTCCTTCTTCTGGTCAATCTCTCCCCTCCCCATCTTGACCTCAGACCACTCATACTAAACTGCCTTGAGCATCCTGAAAATCCCTCAACCCATTCATCTTTGCTCAGGCCATTCCCCTGCCATAGGACTGCCTCACCTCCCCATACCTGCTTTTACCTAGGTATCTTCTAGTCATACCTCCAGTATCATTTCACCATCTTTTTTTTTTTTTTTTTTTTTTTTTGAGTTGGAGTCTCACTCTATTGCCCAGACTGGAGTGCAGTGGCCACTCCCGGCCACCGCAACCTCGACCTGCTGGGCTCTGGCGATCCTTTCGCCTCAGCCTTCCGAGTAGCCGGAATTACAGGCGCGTGCTACCACGCCCAGCTAATTTTTTTATTTATTGTAGAGATGAGGTCTCGCTGCCCAGGCAGGTCTCGAACCCGCAGGCTCAGGCAATCCACTCACCTCAGCCTCCCAAAGGCGCGGGATTACAGGCTGAGCCACCGAGCCCTGCTTCACCATCTTTTTAAGAAGCCCTTTCTGGTTGTTCCCACCTCCTCCATCACCAGGTTGGGTGGCCCTTCCCCAAAGAAGCATACTTGGGGAAAGGCCAGCAGGGCAGTTCCCAGGACACCAGCTCACTCCTGGAAATGTCATGAGATGGAGAAAGTGCTCAGCGAATGTCCCCCTGGGTGGCTAGAAGGCACACTCTGATATACCCCTTGTAAAGCAAGTTGGTATCATGGAACTAATGCTCATGCCACCTTCTAAAGAAGGATGTTTATGGGGCTTCTGTCCCACTGAGTAGGTCTGAGGGTTAGGGCTAGAGTATGTGGTCCTGGAGCTGAGCCTGGCGCCACCTGCCTCCCTGGTACCTTCTCCAGCCCCTACTTCTCCCTCAGCAAATGTTGAAGAAATACCAGAGAACACCAGACTGAAGGCATTACCCCCAGTCTCTGTCTAGCCCTGCCCCCTAGTCACAGATAGGACATATCTCTCTGTGTTGTAACTGTTTACTTGTCTGTCTGTCCTCCCTCCGCACCACTCCACAGGCTGCAAGCATCACAAGAGCAGAACCTTTCTTATTCCTGCTATTTCCCTAGCATTTAGCACAGCTCCTGGCTTGTAAGTGGCTCTTGGTACAATCTTGTTGAATAGCAAAATGATTGCCTTGGGAGACATCTCAAAAGGCCATCCACCAGCAATTGTCAACCCTGGCTGTGCCTAGGATTGCCTAGGGAACTTTTTGAAAACTTCCAATGCCAGAAGTACTGAAGACCTGTTTATTAATCCAAATCTCTGAGGATGGGGCCTGTCAGGTGTCCTGTTGAAAGCCCCCAGGAGATCTTAATATACAGTTAAGGTTGAGAAGCCCTGGCCCAGTTGTGCATTTTTCCAACACTTGGACCATGGCCCATACAAACCCAGGAGAAGCAGACAGTGGGATCCCAACTCCTCTCAGCCTCTGCCCATGATCCTGGCCCAGGCTCTGCTTGCCCTGGTGTCCTGGTGTCCAGGTTCCAGACCAGGGGTGAGCAGGGAAGGGCAGCTGCATCAGGCCCCCAGTACTGGCTGTGCAGTGACTGGAGCCCCCGCCTGCAGTTTGAGGAGATCCATGAGGTGATCGCACGCTACAAGACGCTGGTGAGCATGCACCATGACCTCATGCAGTCTGCACAGGATGGCCAGGAGAAGATAGAGCACGCCAAGGCACGGCTGGCACGCTACATGGAGGAGAAAGATGATGAGATTCTGCAGCACAACAACGAGCTGGCTCGCCTGCAGATGCGCTTTGACCGCGCCCGCGGCGATGTCATCATATGGGTGAGGGGCCTGGGGGGAAGCCGGAGGTGCCTGGGTGAATGAAGGCTGCACCTGCACTGGCATGCACACACACACAGATACACACTCGCACACACACTGGGCTCATCACCCACCCTTATCCCTTCCCCAGGAATCTCGCTGGGCGCACATTCAGAACACCGCCGCCAAGAAGACCCTCCTGCTTGGCACCATTAAGATGGCAACGCTGAACCTCTTCCAGATCGTGAGCAAGCAGCTGAAGGAGGCATCCAGTGTGTCACTGGAAGACACGCACAAGCAGCTGGACATGGTAGGAGAAGGGACAGGCACTGGGGCTGATTAGGTCCACTGGGCCAACTGGTTGAGTAGAGGAATAAACCTGGCAGAGCCATGGCGATTATAATAGGATCACCTTGGGGTTGAGGAGTATTGCTAGGCCCCACCTGCAGAGTCTCTGACCCAGTAGGTCTGAGATGAGGACCCATGAATTTACAATTTCAGGAAGTTCCCAGATGCTGCTGCTGGAAGGGAGGTCCAGACTTTGAGAACACTTTTGGACCCCAATTCAGTAGCAGGGACCCACTATTGAATCAGTTAGTTGTGCTGAGCCTTCAGAGACACTCAGTAAACAATGTTCTCAACAGCATCCCTCTAACAATGCAAGCACAGTCTTCAGAGGCAGCTGCTTATACAGAGCTAAGAACATGGTACACGGTACAACTTGGGAAATGTGGATTCTGCAAAAGGTCAAGATAATTTGAATTCTATATCATACACCATGAAAGTTTTGGCATTATACCTGAATAAAGGCCAAACTACCTGGATCAGCATTTTCCAAACTGTACCTGACCAATCCTAGAATCCTGAGATATTGTTTCCTACAAGGGAACAAAAGGAATCCAGGTACTAATACATTTAGAAAACTCTAAGTTAAACAAAGTTAAGATAAGAAAAACAACAACAGCGACAGGACTTAGGGGAGTCTTTGCTATGGTTCTGTGCCCTGAGACTCTCCAAGCAGATACTGCTTCTAAAACTTACTTGACCACAGAACTCTTTGGGGATATGTGACCACTTATTATAAGAACACAGTTTGGAAAATGCCGAATTTGTGTTCCTCATACTATTGGGAGAGTTGTTTAATTCATTGGCTCTTTGTTTCCTCATTTGTAAAATAGGAATTATATCAGTAATAGATGAGAGCGTTGGACAAGTCTGTGTAGTCCCACCTCCTGAGACAGTCTTGAAAAGGAGGCGTTGTAAAACTAGATCTTAGAGGCTATTTAAGCCAACATTTTCACTCTCTTCCCTTTTTATGTACGAGAGGGACCCAAGAATGGATTTTGTTTACTAAAAATTGTATACTTATTCTTACATGTTTAAACTTCAGTCACCTTCAAAGTAATCTCTGTTTTATGCAATACTTCCATGGAGACGATTTTTCCACTGCTCAAAACAGTTTTTCAACTCCTCAGTTTTGATGCCTTTTAGTGATTCTGCCATTTCTTGTTTCACCTCTTACATACAGGCAAAACATTTCCCTTTGAGGACTTTTTTCATCTGAGAAAAAAAAAAGTCACTCAGGGTGAGATCAGGTGAATAGAGAGGGTGGGGCATGGGGGGGTCATGCCATTTTTGGTGAAAAACTGCTGAACACTCTGTGCAGTGTGGGCAGGTACACTTGTAAATCACCCATCACGAAATGAGCAAATGCGCTGAAAGAATCTCCACAATAACTCAAGCCAAACACAGCGTCTCACAACAACACTAGCTGGTATGCTGATGCTATGGGTTCCTAGAACACTTACCTAGCCGGGGAAGCCCGTACTATAAGGGCCCTTCAAAAACGTAAACCCAGGGATTTGGGGATCCCCCTAATTTCTGTTTATTTATTCATTTATTTCTGAGATAAGTCTCTGTCACCCAGGCTGGAGTGCAGTGGCACAATTGTAGCTCACTGCATCCTTGAATTCCTGGGTCAAGTAATCCTCCAGCCTCAGCCTCCCAAAATGATTAAAGGCATGGACCACCACTTCCAGCTTCTCTTCTTCCCTTTTTAAAGACGAAGAAACTGAGTTCCAGAAAGATGAAGTGATTTCCCCAGAGCTCCATTTGGAACCCAGCTTGGTCTTCTGATTTCTGAAGTAGCACCCTTTCCTCTGTGACATACTGATTGCATGCTCTTTAAAACAGAAGCCAGTGAGTAGAATTTTTTTTTTTTTTTTTTTTTTTTTTG